CGAGGGTGCAGGCAGATTTCATAGGTCCCATTTGATAAACCATATCAGCAAGTATGCAGTAGATCATTTCGTATCTTGAGGTGTGTAAAAGCATACCATTCATAGTGCGCCTACATTTTCAGTTCATTTCAAAGTCTTTTTCTTTTTTTCCACACTTTCTGTTCTTTTTACAAACAAATAAATACAATGCGTCAACGCGTTAAGCATGGCACGCTTTAGTACTATGTACATCCACAACATTAGATACGGAATGACTGAACTGTAGCTATATCAATCCAAGTACGCACATAGAATATCGGGTTTTTTCAACGCTTGAAATCTGTATAGCGCTATTGTCTGATGTAATTCGTACAAATTTTCTACCCCTTTTTATCAAAGAATAAAGAAGTCCCAAATTTTTGAACAAAAAGTGTAGCGTGATTTACTTGAACGTGTCACAAATGTTAGCCCTACGCTTGCTATTACGTCTTTATTGTAGTCATCTCTTTGAGCAGTGCATCTCCAACTTTAGCATGTCGTTTTCGTTACCATTCAAGTCCTTATTTCACCTAAAAGTCGGTTCTTTTTACATGATCATTTGAGTTTACTATGTCTGATCTTCGAACAAAACTCGCGTTTCATTGAAATTTTACGAAAGGTTGTTTTGTTTGTGCTAGATGGGTGTTGCGCCAATTTTTTGTGAATCTGTTTGCTCCTCATTCAATGTTCCATCCGACATCCTATATCTTAACTTTCCTGAGGCATGCATCTCAAATTTTCTTGTAAACACCATGGTGTTGCTTTTGCAAAGCTTACCGATTAGGCTGTTTGCTGCACTGTAGGAGATATGGAATCGCACACGGTCTTACAAGCTTTTTGGTTCTATTAACTAACGGTGAGATAAATTATTCTGCTGAGAAAAGTTGAAAGTTGAAAAAATTCTATTAAGTATTTAGTATTAAGTATTATCAAGTAGACCATGACTGAATGATGAAGGGATGAGATTTATTGTATCTTTTGACGGCACTAAAGTTGATTATCGGTAGAATTTGGCAAGTCTGTTATTGTTTGTATCAAACTTACTCTTGAAAGACCTCAGTCTAGTGGTTAACGAGTATGAGACAACTATCTCACATACAGTTCAGGATTAGAGGTTCGAATCATTTTGATTTCTGTGACACCCTCACCTTCCTATTTCTCCTTTCTCAAGAATTTTCATTCTGTCTTGCAGTATGTACATGATCAAGTCAGTATCATTTAGACAAGATAATGTGGAGCTACCACCGCCCGGGCAGTATGCCACTGGAATTCTATTTCTTCATGAGGATTCCTATGCACAAGCGAAGGTGAGCCATAAAAAATGCAGCTTTTGAGATCTTCTTGTCTGATTAAAGATCAACAGGAGTTCTTATTGTTAGATGTGCTCATAAGTCATGGTCATAAGATTTTGTAAGAGGTCCTCTTGTACAGGGGTTTTCAAAAAGCTTTTGCTGAGTGGAATGGATCTTTACCTGCCTTATAATCAGTTTACAACGCATTTATATTCAAGAAATTTATATGATCGCAGGTTTTCCAAATGAAAAGTAAATACGTGTGCAATGATACACCAGCTGAGAGTTTTTACTCATCATTTTCTAAAATGTGTTCTAGTGTTTCAAATCTTTTCTTCAGTCATATATAATTGCCATTCATTTTCGAAAAATAACCGTACAGAGTGATAGCCATACACAAACTCTTGAAGACATGTTTGTACGAACTTCCTTGATTGTTTACTGCAACTGTTATTTAAAGTTGCGTTATATACATGAGTAATTAACAGAACATCTTTCATTTGGATCTTAACAGCATGAAAGCTATCAAACAGATAGTCTATAGTTTAGCTCTCCAAGAGACATTGTTCTCGACTCTTTTACAAAAATTTGTAAAAATAGGAACATTCTTTGGACGACTAAGTTAAGGGTAGGATGATATTGCAGAAGGCAGAACGATCAAAGCTACCGTCAAATTATTATCAAATGGTTATTCAGGAAGCGTTTGCTGATTTGGCTCGTGCATGTAATGTTCGTGTCATCACCTGGCGAAAGTTAGGCACGAATCGCGACTCTCTTGGAGCCGAGGCCAGAAAGACGGAGCCGTTGATGCGCCAGGTACATCAAATTCGATTTTTTTGATCCATAATCAAGTACTATTTTGATTACTTGCTGCGCCTACGGGGTCAAGATACTAGGCCAGTCATCCAGTGGCGGTCCCAAGATTCCGTCCGAAGTTTTCTTTATTTGAAAGTGAGCGGCGTCAGCCACGCACTCCGAAAATTCTTTTGGGTTGCTTCCCAGTGTTTTCGGCTCATATCTCCATAATAGCTCGGCGGCCACCCTTCCTCTCCTCTCTCCATAGAGTTTTTATGATAAAATTATTTTTTTTTTAGA